GTAAGTAACGCAAGGCAACGAAATTTATATTTACAAACAAGAAAAATGTTCATATCTTCGAAGCATTCAGAGACGGTGAAAGAAATGAAAATAGCCATGAAAAAATAATGCAAAGAGAGCAACCCAGAGAACCATAATTCATTTATTTCTAGTGTTTTTTTTTATCTGTAACATATTAATTTATTCACCTTGTGGAGGGTGGCTCGCAACATGCGTAACCGCTCATCTTCTAATGAGAGTGAAGAATACGCCAACCGATGGATATTCGATTTCGCTAAAAAGGTCTGTCCGTCTCAGTTCCAGCACAACACATTCTTCGAGAAGCGTCTCCGAGTGCCGGCTCTCTGGATAGACCATTCACAATGCTGTAGTTCTCTACGGCTCTGCTTTCTTCAAACAACTTCTCACCGGGAAGCGATATGATTAAATTCAATCTTCTGAAAAATCTCCCAGATATCGCTAAAAGACGCTTGCTAGACTTATTCAATTCCTTACTAGAAAATAACATTATACCGCCTGAATGGAGACAGGTCAAAGTAATAGCCATTAAAAAACCTGGCAAACCAGCGTCTGACCATAACTTATACCGTCCGATTGCTATGCTTTCGAGCATTAGGCAATTGTTGGAGAAAATGATTCTTCGGAGACTCGATCAGTGGGTCGAAACAATTAACTTGCTATCAAATACACAGTTTGGGTTCCGCAAGAGCAAAGGAACAAACAGATATTCAACTGACTCTTACGGGAAATTTTTGGGAACTTTTTTTACTTCTTCAATGTTGCAGAGGATGCAAAATTAAGCAACTTTGTCCAAGACGTCAAATTTTTATCTCATCATCTACGCATTCTACGAACTGAAACAACTAGAAGGTTAGGGTGATTCATGAAAAAACAGTTTTTTGACCATAACCTTTTTTGCTTTGTATTTTGAGAAAACTATTGTTCACAACACTTTTAGAACTTTTAGTCATTTTAAGGTTAGAAACAAGTATTTTTCAAACTAATATAACTTTAAAACGCGCAAGCAAATTGAAAGTAATGGAAAGAAGAAATTTGGTTCTATATTTGCCGGAAAATGGCAGAGGTATCATTTTTTTAACTCGAGATATTTGAATTAGAAAATTGTCATATTTTAAGGAAAAAAGCCATAGAAAATGAATAAAAGTGGCAATAACCGGTCATTCCTCCTAAAAACTGCTAAAAGATATTGTAAAATAATAGTGACAACTTATCTAAGTTGCTTGCTCACAAAAAATGTTTTGACAACTCGTTCTGAGCTGAAATTTTGGATACAACAAATTAAAAAGAATAAGTTGCTGTGATTGAGCAATTGTTTAATGTTTAATTTTTTAATAACGTTCAAGGTTATCAATAAAATGAACTAAAACAAAATTGAACGTGGACCGATCGTACAAGCCTGCAGTTTTCCCAGCTTGTCGTGGAACGAGTGCTAGAGGCGAGCTCGAAGATCACCCGATTGTAACCATCATCGCCAGCAGCATCAATCCCTCAGAAGCTTGATCCCAACGTCGCCGGCCGGCCCCCTCACACTACACACTGCAGCATTATAGAAAGTTCTGTCCAAAATGAAGTATTACAAAAATTGCAAGACAACATTTTGTGCTGATGTGTCAAAAATAGAAATTACTTATAATAATTAGGCATCATCAGTGTTCACTCGGCTGTCGACAAAAGCAGGCCACTCTCGATGTGTGCCACGCGATCGTCTGTTTTCTCGGCAGCAACCACTGTGTGGTTCTCCTCATTGTTCTTCATCAGCAGTTCTTTCGGTCGATGCGTCGTCGACTTTGGAAAGCAACCGTTTCGTGATGAGTGTGTGAGTGCTGACCACGTTTTGCGTCCATTGCTGCAATGGACGCGCTCTCACCCTCGTTGGCGTAACTGTCAGTCAATGAAACTACTAGAAGCGGCTCCAGTTCTGATGGAGGAGGCTTTTTGAATAGTGGAAGATAAAGTATTTATTGTGTTGTACCTTTTGACTATAGTTTTAAGATCTATTGTATAGTGACCAAGAATCCTCGGCTCTGTAAAGTTAATTCGGTTGAGCCTTATCAAATAAATTAATAAACAAAAAAAAATTAGGCATCATTAAATAAGGATTTTGGAATTTCCCAATATTGTTTTCTACAATTCCTCCTTGCATTACTAATAATGAAATATTGAAACACCAATAAGAAAGAACATATAACTATTCCCTATAATTGGCCAAAACTAATTTTCTTGAAAACTCACACGGGGCAAGAGTGCAACCCCTATATTTATGAATAAAATTATACAAAAATGTAAAAGAAATTGCTTCATTGCCCATTAAAGTCTTCGGTAAGCTTGTTTTCACCAAATTTAACAAACCCATCTACATAAAATATCAACAACAATAGTTTTCATTTGATTTCATTGGTAAACATACACTCCAAAAAAATCTGAATTTTACTGGCGATGTAAACATCCATGCATGCAAACATTGATACATGTAAACTTCCTTTTCACGTAAACTAGCAGCTTGCAATAAATGTTGCAAACAAAAGTGGACCGTTGCATACAATATATGGAATATTGCGTGACATGTCTCATAAATTTACACGATCTATAATTTAAACTTGTATGATATATGACGCTCCATTTATGTGCATCATAGTAACGGAAATTTACACTACTTTTTTTTAGCTGTGTAGTTCATTTGTTATGCACACTAATCCAGGCCTCTACCGATCGGTAAATTTTGAAATACAGAACTGTTCGATAAAAGTTGGGAGAAGAGTTTCGAACCCCTTCGGATACGGTTGTGTCTAAAGTTTGCTCTCTGTTTTGTGCGTGCTTTCTCTTCCATAGCTTTTGGCTGCATTTGCCGGATTAGCGCTGGCACTCTGCCTCCCGGACGGTTATACGTGTGTGGTGGATTGGTGGTTTTCTCGCTTTCCTAAAAGTTTTAAGCGCCCATTACACATATCAATATATTGACAGTTATTGACAATAAATGGACATACTGACAATATTATTGAAAAGGTGATATTGAAGACGATGATTGATGATAAGTATTGACGAAAAGCTGATTTTAATTTCGCTTTGTCAATACTCGATACAATACACGAATATTGACAACATTAATGGCAATACGTTGAATGCCTTTTTACCTCAATGTATTAAAGTCAATATTACTTGACTCAATTTCCCCACACAAGAAACATGGCTCAGCTAAAGAAAGTGTGTTTAGAGTTCATGTTTGCATTCGGGTCCAAACAGAAACGATTGCTGGACCTGCATGTATTGAAAATACTAGCTACACACTGAATTCGGATCACCCAAGTCGGCAAATTTTGCCGGGTTTTTGATCAGCTGAAAAAATTGGAAAAATTTCAAATGACCGTTACTCGAAGGAAATCAATCAAATCGACATTTTTTTTTGTGTCATCAAATGAGTTAACTACGTCCGTACATTTTCATAATAAATTTACAAATTTTTCAATTTTTCACTGATTTGTAAACTTTTACCGAACAGTTCCGTAGTTCAAAAATTACCAAACAACGGAGTCCTGGTTTAGTGGATATATATAGAAATCAATTTTCACCCAACATTTACTTATACTTGCACATTTTAAATAAATTTTCAGGATTTTAAGAATATATAGTGTTAAATAATGATCTATTCCAAGCCTACTTTTAATATGAAAATCCTCTTATACTTTCTGGCAAATTACTATTGATCATTATGAAATTCAACTAATGACCAGAAGACGTGAAAGAAAGATAATGTTGGTAATATGTCATATAAACTGCATTACTGGACACACATATAGTTTATTAATCAACATAGGATGTACCGTGAACGTGGGTTATTATGCGTGAGCTGTTATTCCGCGTTCAAATACCAAATTGGTATACCAAATGTTGTAACTTTTTGACAAGACACAGATAATACACAGGACTACATGTACTTCCAAATAGATCGAATTCAATCAAATCGATTGTCGAGTGCGTGGAATTACTATACGTGTGGAATAACCCACGGTATTCGTACGCAGATTCCCAAAAATAAACTATCATGCTGATGTTTTGGTAAACATTCATTAATGAAAATCATGCATATAATAATTAATTTACGTTATGTGTGTGGTATGTGAAACGCTGATAGCATTTATTTTATTTTAAAGTGAAAAAAAAACATGATTATGCTTATGATTTTGTATAAAATGTACATCCATATAAACGAAGCCTGGGTTATTGGTGACTGTAAAAAAGTATTTTTTTATTTAATACGAAATTGTTTTTACATACCACACGAAGATTTAAACAAATGGCAACACTGCATGCCTCGTTGCATGCGCGAAGCTGCTTTGTGAGTCAGTCGATCTAAATGACGTACGTTCTCCCTTTTCTTGGGTAGGGGAAGAATATTTACAAAGTGAAATGAAAATTAGTTTTTCAACAATCCATCGTCTTTTCAATAATATTGTCAGTATGTCAATTTACTGTCAATATATTGACCCGTGTAACCAGTGCTTTAGCGTGTTGTCAATATTTATGTATTCCTTTGATTTGTTTTCCGTCGATCTTGTTTTCCGTGCTGAGCACCAATGCTACTGACGCCAGGGAGGCAGCTCCCACACCTGGACCCTACCTATCGACCCATCAACCCATGAACCGGGGACCAACGGTTTTACTTCCCATCCGAAGGAAGGCGTGATCAGAGATGTTATGCCTCAGAACATCCCGGCGGCGCCGACTGGGATTGAACCCAGGCCTGCTGGGGTGAGAGGTAATCACGCTTACCACTACACCACCGGCGCCGCTAATCTTTATGTATTGATAATATTGTAAGGAAAATTGACAACACGATGTTTAGAATCGAGAATGAAAACATGATTCATCATGTTTGCAAAATTGCAAGCATCAGAAGATTTGGCACTATCTGCACAGACAAACAGACATAACACTCGCAAGTTGTTCATCGATCAAGCATTTAACGGACAATTTAAAAGTAT